CTCCTGCTCTGTCTAGGACCATCTATTATGATCCCGGTCAGAGTGGTCGGTAGTGGTAGCTGGGCACCATCTAGTTCTTCTGGTCTCAGGATCATGTAGGCTGTGGTTCACGTGGTCCGTTAGTCCTTTGGATAATTACTCCCTTGGGTCTTTAGTATTTTTCCCTCTCCTTTGCTCCAGACTAGAAGAGACCGATAGTTGTATCTTAAATGGCCACTCACAAGTTTTTAAGACCCCGGACGCTACTCACCAAAGTAGGATGTAGAACACTGTCTTTAAGAATCAGGCATGGTATTTATTTTATTTTTTTTATTTTTATTGTACTTTAGATGAAGGTTTACAGAACAAATAGTTTCTCATTAAACAGTCAGTGCACATATTATTTTATGACATTGGTTAACAACCCCACGATATGTCAACACTCTCCCTTCTCAACCTTGGAGGACCTTTTTTTTTTTTGGTGAAAATATACACAGCCAAAGATACACCATTTCAAAAATTTCTACATGTACAATTCAGTGCATCAGTTACATTCTGTCAGTTGTGCTGCTATCCTCACTATCCTTTTCCAAATTATTACATCTCGATTGTCTTCAACTCACTGTCAGGCATGGTATTTAACCTCTCTGCCTCAGTTTCATCACTTGCAAAACAAGCATGGTAACAGTCCTTATATTATGATTGTGAGGATGAAATGATGCAATTCAATTCATAAAGCTCACGAGACACAAAATAGTGCTTAATAAATGTTCCCTGTTGTTAACTACTTTTAAAATATAAAGCTTCTATTTTTCACAGTAATTATGGTCTTAGGATGTTAAACCAAAAAAAATCAAACCTACTGCCATCGAATCGATCTGACTCATGGCAACTCCATGTGTTACAGAGCAGAACTGAGCTCCATAGGGTTTTCACGGCTGTAATCTTTAAGGAAGCAAATCACCAGGCCCTTCTTCCACAGCGCCACTGGACGGGTTCAAACCACCTACCTTTTGATTAGTAGTGAGCACAAACCATTTGTGCCCCCCAGAGACCTATAAAGCATTAGTCCTACAAGTTTCTGCTGTATTCTGCTGTTATGGCAGATGGTGGTTAGCATTTCCCTAGAAATTTCAAGTGATGTTCATTCGATCCTTGTTGTTTAATTGTTTCTAAAATGAAGATGTGATCAATTTACTCTCCCCTATAAAATAAGACTCCCCGGTGTATTTTGTGTATAGCCAACCCACCTGCTGTTCAAAACCTTTGATCTGGCCCTCCTTGTCTCACCACTCTCGCTCTTCCCCTGGATTCTCCAGTTTTGAGCATGTTCCTTGCTCTTTCACGCTCATGGTGCTTCCTTGCCTTTTCTACACCTTCTTTACTTGGCCTAACATGCTCTTCCCCTGATTTCTAGGCTTCCTCCTCCCCTCTTCCCATCCACCCTTCTTCATTCAAATCCCATGCATCTTTCAAGTCTCAAGTTCAGTATAACCACTTCAGGATGATTTAGGTCCTTTTCTGTGTGCTTCCAGGACACCCTCTACTTCCTCTATTATAACAGTTACCATAATGAATTTAAAGTGTTGGTTTATGGATTCAACTTCCCCTGTATAAACGTGAGCCCCTGGAAGGCAAAAAAGAGCATGATTCTTTTATAAAGCACCTTAGGACAAGTATTTTGCCATGCCTGTGTCCACAGTGGCTAGTGGCTCCTTGAATCAGAACTGATTTTATTTATCTTGGTACTCTCAACTCCTAACACAGTGCCTGGCCCACAGGCAGTGTTCAATAAATGCTTGTTGAATGGGACAATATCTAGAAATCTGCCACAGAATGACCTTATTAACCCGGGATTGTGAATAATATTATCAACTTGATGGCTTTGAGAATGAAATTCAAAGACATGTGCTGTATGTCACTGAGTGCATGGCACATGATTTGATTCAGTGTCACTGAATGCCGCATTACGACAAGGTACACAATGCCTCCCTGATTTTAAACTATCTGTGACCAGTTAATTTGATTAAATGAAGCACTGTGCTAAGGAAGGGAAGGTTGCAGCAATGAGCTCTCTATTTATTCCTTAGCGTTATTCTACCAAATGGATAGAGAAGTCTCCCCAGAGGGATGGCAAATAAAAGAAAGGCCACTAGAGAAACCTGACAGACAGGATGATTTTCTGTGGGGGCAGTTCTGCCCCCTAGAGGGTATTTTGGAATTCTGTAGGAGCATCTTTGTCATTACAGAGTCCTGGTGGCGCTGTGGTTAAGAGCTCAGCTGGTAACCAAAAGGTGAGCAGTTTGAATACACTAGCCACTGCCTTGGGAACCTTATGGGGCAGCTCTACTATGTCCTATAGGGTTTCTGTGGGTCGGAATCAATTCGATGGCAACGGGTTTGTTTGTTCGCTTTTAGGGCGTTGTATTGTTTCTTGTTTGTTTTTAATTGTATGTATAGTGAGTTATATTATCTGTGAATTTCATTTGAGGACAGTAAAGGGATATTCTAAGGAGAGTTCATTGAGTTCCATAGGATTTAGAATCACTGCCTTAGATACTGAGGCTGAGCCTCATGCTCTTGAAATCTCCAGTGGGTTATCATGTGCATTGAGGCATCAAAACCTCAGCAGATGTCCTCCCTGATGGTTGAATCTGTTTTTACATACCCACAATAGATTTTCTGAAAAGTAGGTTGATTTTTTTTTTTCTTAAGACAAATAGACCGTCTAAGCCTACGTCATAAAGAATGCGGAGTTTCAAAGCAGATGCCTGAGTACAAATCTTGGCTCTAGTACTGACTAGCTGTGGAATGTCAGGCAGTTACTCTTCCCTTCTGTGCCTCCGTTTCCAAATTTGTAAAATAGGAATTGTAATATCTCCCTGTTGTGTTGGTCGGAGGTTAAAATGAGTTGATACATGTAAATTCTTAGCATAGTGGTTGGCTCATAATAAGAGCTCAATAAATGTTAATTTAAGAATATAATAGGAGCCGTATATAGCAAACATAGGAGCCCTGGTGATGCAGTGGTTAAGCACTCGGCTGCTAACTGAAGGGTCAGTAATTCAAACCCACCAGCAGTTCCTTGGGAGAAAGATGTAGCAGTCCGCTTCCATACAGGTTTCCAGCCTTGGAAACCCTATGGGGACAGTTCTACTCTGTCCTATAGGGTTGCTATGAGTCAGAATTGACTCAACGCCCGTGGGTTTGGTTTTTTTTTTTTTTTTTAATAGCGAACATCAGTAAAACCAGTCTAATGATGTAGTAGTGTCTTCTAGAGCATGCTCACAAATATTTATCCTTTTACATTCAGACTCTTTCTCTCTTCTTTCATATTTTGAATAACTTGGGATACTTGAAAGACAGGTCACTTTTAGATAGAAGAGAAGGTAGGAGACGTGGAAGTCCAAGGCCCCTCTGTCATTAGCCTGGGCAAAAGCACAACATCTTTGAACTTGTTTTCTCAACTGCCAAACAAAAAGGACAGGGCCAAATGACTCTCATAGTTCAGAATTCTACCTCTAACTAACTCTATTTGAAAATAATTACTGAGATGACTATGATGGTATGAATTCCTATAAACCTGGACTCCCATACAACACCCTAGGGACCAGGCAGGTAACCTAAATGACAGAGGTGGCCAGGTGGGAGAGATCAGGCAGGAGGAGGCAAATGGAAAGTGTCTTGTCTAAAGAGGCTGGCCTGACCCCACTGGAAGGGTGTGTCTATGTGTCCAAAGAAGCCAGAAATCCAGATTCTTATAAGAAATGTCCTGATTTTTAAATCTGTGCCACCGTATGCACATCTCAGTGCTGCATACAGCCCACAAGCTGAGACCTCTGTAAAAATCCATTTCCTTTGCTGCTTTCATGAGCCCTGACACAGGAAATGGCTTTCTAAAGTAATACAAAATCAATGTAGTTTTTTTTTTTAATTTCAAAATACAAAGTGAGTGTTAAAGACATTTTCTTTTATTGACTAGCAAGGAGTATCGTTAGGGCGGTAAAATGAAGTGCTTTGATTTAAAATTTCAAATAGATTTCATGAAAACATATAATATTTTATTTACTGTAACCCAGCAGGATATATGCCCAAATATGTAGTAATCAGACATGGAATTCAGTGGCACATGAGATATGTAATATTAGATGATACTAACCAATAGCTAGACTTGGAACACCACAGTTATTATTAACATAAAAGTTACAGTGTGATTACTAATTAGTACTGACAATATGGTAAATACATTAAATTACCAATCTTTACATTTTTACATAACTCATTTTACAAATAAATGTTTTAAGACCCACCTGTCCAGCTTTCATTTAAATGCTAAATGTTGCTGAACAAAAAGTCTGCAATAAATACTCCCTCAGGTGAGTGGGGGAAATGCTTTAACATAGGATCTGTGTTACAATGAATATCTGAGTAAATATTTAAAACTTTAAACTTCTCATGAGGTTATTGAGAACTTGTATTCTGAAAAAGCTCTTATATTTTAAACAAAATTTAGTTATTAATTTAAAAAGCAACTGTTCTCATCCTGTTAACATTATTCATGGTTAGATTGCTCCCAAAATTATAAATAGGTTTTTCACAGTTCCCTCCATTTGCTTAATAGATAATTTTTTAAGTGAACCTTTGATAATTACAATCAGGTATTTTTCTTTGCTTATTTATATATATATATATATATATGTATTGTAGTATAAGACAATAAACAACAGAATGAAAAAGCAACTCATAGCCCTTTTCTAAGCCGTATAGCCGAGTAGTCCAATAAAACATTTTTAACCAATTTGCTACTTTAAAGTGGAACTGCTGCACATTTTGCGTAAAAGTAGCATAAATTGACATGTAATGGTCATCATGTTTTCAAGGCCTCAAGGCAATTATCTAACACAACCGTTCTGTGATTGGAGCCAGGAACATTAAGATTATGTTGAAGGTGCTGTATTCTCCTGGCACTTTCCTCCATGACGTTGCTCTGCTACAAGGAAATGCATGTGGCAATGGCAGCAGGCTCCACCTGTCCGCCATCTTACTACGTGATGGGTTCAAGGCCATGGCCTGTCAACTGGAACTGAAGTCTGGGCAGCTCTTCCCAGGCAGCGGGGGCTCCTGCTGGAGGGGGTAAGCAAAGTATTGAGGTGACACCAGGAAGCCAGATGGCTGGGTCAGGTGGATTGGGTGGCCCGTGGTGTAAGGCGGGGGGGGTGACGGCACCAGGCAGCCTGGCTCGGCCCTGGCAAAGGAGAACCTGCGGATAGAGCCTCCTGTGGAGCTGGAACTGGTGGCAGTGCTGGACTGCCTGGAAGGTGTCCTGAGGCTTGTGGAAGTCAAGATCATGGGCAGGGTCTCTGTCTGGTAGCTGCGGAGCGAGAGGCGGATCGGCTGCTGTGAGGGCTCCTTGGGTCTCAAGCAGGTGCAGCAATAAATAGCCACTAAAGAGCCCAGTATGATGAACGCAATGAATATGGAGCCGACGATCAGGAAGGGGACATAGACGGGCTCTAAAAGGCAAAAACAGACATACACAGATGCTCGCACAAGACTCTCCCAAACTGCGGCCCTGCTCAGGCAGCTCAGGGGCAGGTGGGTAGAAGGCTCAGTATTAACCACTGTTGTCAGCTCAACTTTTCAGAGCTTATGACTGGTAACCTCTAATGCAAAGTGTGATGACAGAATATTCTGGCTACTCCTAGTGGGGAGGAAGCAAACTGATACTGTAGCCTCTGTTAGCAATTAGCCCTCAGGTTGCACATCTGGAAATCAGAAAAGAACAAAATCTATCCTCCTGTTCATGCCCTGGAGGGAAAGGATAAATTTTGGGGGTCACTGTATCTCTGGGTTCAGATAGAGATTTTAGTAGCTTTATCACGGTGGGGCACTTAGGGCTTTGACCCCTCTCTTAGGCTGAAAATCCATCTCCTATCCAGGAAGGAATCTCCAACCTAAGCAAAGAGGACTAGCCAGGCCTGGATTTTATGAGACTCCAGAAAGAACAATATAAAGAAATTCATTAAAAGAAAAAAAAAACCCATTGCCATCAAGTTGATTCTAACTCATAGCAACCCTATAGGATAGAGTAGAACTTCCCCACAGAGTTTCCAAGGCTGTAGTCTTTAAGAAAACAGACTGCCACATCTTCCTCCCCTGGAGCAGTTAGCAGCCGAGTGCTTAACCACTGTGTCACCAGGGCTCTAAAGATATCCATAGTGGGCTCCAATTTACTGTGTCTCTTACCACGTCACAAATTGTCAGCTCCAGCTGCCTCCTTCCAGAAACAGTCTGGGAGGCTTACTCTAGCTGTCACACTGCCGCCTCTCAATTCACACTCAAAACTCTGGGAAGGTCAGGCTATTTTTGGTGTTGGCAGCCCAGATTTTCTGTGAGAGCATCCCTCAAACAGAGCAAACCCTAGCTTCCTCCTCTCTGGGCAGGCAGAAAATTCCCCATTCCAGAGGCACCCCCTGGGCAGTTCTCTAGGTCTCTCCCCTGTCTGATAGGGCCACTCTGAGATGCAGCCTCCAGCTTAGAAGTAAGAAAAGAAAACCTCCATTGACTAAGGGCCTACTGTGTGCCTGGCTCTTTCTTATTCATTATGCAATTTAAATCTCATGAAAAGGACATGACAAGCTCTATTTTCTAGGTATGAAAACAAATCAGAGATTTTGACATTCCCAAAGACACACAGCCAGTGAGTAACAGGTAACTAATCAGCTCCTAAATTCTGCCAATTCCTAAGTGTGTGCCCTTCAATGTACCGCCCATTCTCCCAGATTGAGTAGCACCTGTGTGGAAGGCAAGGGCAAAGGGATAACTCCACTTACTGAGAGCTGATAGGCATTCATACGCTCTCATTTAATCCACAGCCTAACTCCTTTGAGAGCAATATTTCCATTTTAGAGTTGGGATGAGACCCAGAGCAGTTAAGTAACTTGCCCAAGGTTACACAGCTAGCAAGTTACAGAGTGATTGTTCCTCAAGGTTTGCCAGATCCCAGCCTCAGTAGTACGGTGACTGTCCCTCTTCCCTGCTGTCCTCTCTCAGCAGAGTGAGGATGCCCAGCTGTGGCCCAGAAGGAGGCCCCACCTGCAGCCCGGGCAATTAGCCCTGGCACTTTACCGGCAAGGAAGAACCAGGAGCCCAGGGTGGCTGGAGTAAAGTTGGGGAAAGGGTCTGTATTTTTATAATAGCCCAGGACAATCTAGAGCTCCCTACTTTCCAGTGAGCATCTTTTCTCCAGAAACCACCTCTCAAATCCTCTAGATAATTTGACCCTCAAAGTTAAATTCCTTGAGAGTCTAACGGAGTGCTAACGGAGAGTAAGCTCCCCTTTCCTCCTCTGGGTTATCAGTCTCCTGGCAGAGGTGGGGTAGGGGTGAGGGGCTCTGGCACCAGTAATTATCTCTCCAGGCACTCCTTGCCTTTCCCAGAGGACCCTACCTAGCCATCTTCAAACCTCCGCTCTGGGGTCCTGGGGTATCACCAGCTCTCAGCTCCTCCGGTTTCCCGGCCATAAACCCACTGCCTCAAGCTCTGAGGTGTTTCCCTGATGTTCCGATTCAGGTGGAAACATTTTTTTAAGTGTAAATTTCCTCTGCCGGGGTTGTGGTTTATTCTGCTGGGAAGTGAGCGGAAATTTGACCTGAGTTTTCCAACGTGAGAATAGGGGGCGGGGAAGCCCCTGAGACCTGGGTTTCTGAATTTCCACCTTGACGACCTGGGTGTTTCAGAAAGGCGTGACAATAGGAAGTGGGCCCAGAGACGGTAATTCGATGCAGAGAAATGAAAGGAAAGGAAGTCAGGAGAATGGGGCAGCGGTTTAGAAACGCTACCAAAGGACCAAAAAAAAAAAAAAAAAAGGTGGCTGAAGCTCCCCAGTTCTGCGGGGCTGGGGATGAGCACCCGGCAAGAGTCGCGTTCCCCGCGTTGTCAGCACTTCCCGAAAGCTCCTGGAGTGATCAGAGCGTGAAATAGGGTGCCTTCACTGCCTCCCTAAAAACCCAAGCCCAGTCTGACGCTGCCCCCACAGCACTTATCCGCACTGCCCGGGCGCCCGGGCGCTTCAGCTGTCCTCCCTAGGGCCACCCAGTGCCAGTCCCGCGGTCCTCTCTGAACTTGTAAACTTTCCAACCACGGAGACAGCGTGTGGCGGGAAGCGAACTGCAAGGAATAGGTTCCCCCCCGACCTACCACGCACCTGCCCACACTTCCCTTGATTCCCCCCACACCGCTGCGCCACTTTTCGCACAGGGGAAGGAGGCCACGCTCGGCCCCTAGAAGGCCAGGAGCGCACACCGACCCCAGCTGGCGGGCAGGCGGGAGTGGATCGCGGTGGGCCCGGCACTTACGCGCCGTGATGCCCGAGTGCTCCAGCTCGCCGCGGTCGTTGGTGCAGCCGCCCTGCTCCAGCCTCGCGTCGGCCGCGGCGCAGCAGTAGCGCAGCGCGCAGGAACCGCAGCAGATGGTGGCGTCCAGCGTGTCGAAGTCCTCCGGGCACTGGAAGCCCTCGTGGTAGTTGCCCTGCACGTCCACCCAGCCGTGGCAGTACTCTCCCGACTGCTGGGCGCCCGCCGGGCACCAGCGCAGCCAGCCTAGGAAGAGGCACAGCGCCAGCAGCGCCCCCATCTCCGCGGGGCGCCCTGGGCGGCCTGAAGGGGGACGCGGCTGGAGCAAAGGTCCGAGCCGGCGTGCGATGGCGCCGGGCGCAGCGCGGGTCCGCCTCCCCCGGCAACCGAGGCCACTCTCGCGCGGGTTAGCAGGGGCCCGGGAAACCGCAGGGACTACGCTGCGGGCTCCGCAGGCCTGGGGTCAGCATGGTGCGCGAGGCGGGTTGGCGAGGGTGCCGGTGGTGTCTCGCCGGAGGCGCCGGCCGAGGCTGCGGCTGGAGCTGCTGCTGCTGCCCTTTGCCCAGCTCATCGCGCTCCCGGCGCGAAGGGCGCACCGAACCTCCGGCCGCCTTCCTCCCCACGCCTCAGGGGAGCCATCGCGCCAGGAGGTGGCAACTCCAGGACCGCGCAGCGCCCCGTCTTGTGGCGGTCGCCAGGTCCGAAGCGGAGCCCGGAGGGAGGAGACTTGATGGCCCACGTGCGGATCCCCGGGAGGAGCGGTCGCTCAGGCCCCGCCGTCTGTCTGTCACAGGAGCAGGAGTCAGCCGGGTGGCTGCCAAGTACAAACGGCCTCTCGGCTGCTGACAGCTCTGCCTGGAAGGCGTCCTTTAAAAAGGAAGAGGGAGGGGGAGACCGCGAAAGTTAAAGAGTCCGCCTTCCTGGGGCGCGCCGCTGCTGGAGCTAATCACCGCAGGCGGGCGCGGGCCTTTGCGGGTCCTTGGCGCTTTCTGGTTCGCGCTCCATCCTCCGCCTCTCCCGGCCATCCCCGCCCACAGCGCTCCCCAGAGCTTGACACTAAACCTGAGGGGACCAGGCACTTCTCACCGCCCCCGCCCCTACTCCACCCCCCGCAACAACTTTCGCACAGCCAAGAAAACTCGGCCGAGCGAGAGAAAGGGCTGCCGAGTTTTCTGCTTGCTTCGCTCTACGCGCGCTGGGGCGCGCATCCAGGCGCGGATTTTCCTTTTTATGGATGCAATAAAAAATGAGAGCTGTGGCTGAGGTTTGTCGAATCATTTATCGCCTGTTACTGAGACCTGGACTCATTCCTGAGACAGCAGTTCTAAGGGTTCAGGACAGATAAGACGATTTTGCACTGAACTTGCCACCTACATTTATGCTTTTTCTGGAAGAAACAGCACTTCACACAAACACACACGCGCTCGCACCGTTTTCCCCACCGCTAACCCGTGCGCCGCCGCGTGAAGAATCACGGGTCACCTCCACCAGCTGAGGGCAGCTCGCAAAACCTCAAAGAGCTCGATTTCTCTTGTTCACGCCGGCAAAGGAAGTAAAAGAACAAAATTAATGATAATTGAGCAGATCTGAACTTCTGTTCGGGCAAAGAAACACATTTATTAAAATGATGTGTCCCCTGTGGGCTATTTTCAGGGGCACTGTTCCTTTAGCGGCGAAAGTGCCGTATGAAACTGGTGTTATGTGAAACCTGGGCTACACTCAAGAATTTATTTTTACTGCATCCTAAACTTCCTCTCATCGTTTATTGGTTTGTGTGAATATGTTCGGAGTATCTCGACCTGTTTGTTAAACACGCTGAATGCTCGTGTCACTGATTTAGATGTTGGCGAATTGAGTGAAACAAAAGCAACAAAGTGTTCTGGGCACCAGCAATAAAAAGTGTGCGGTCAAAGCGTTTATCACACCCACAGCTTCCGAACTGTTTGTCCGAATCGGTTCTAGAGAAATTTGTGATTTAAAAAAAAAAAAAAAAAAAAAAGCTTTTAATGAAACGGCTTCTTTTTAAAAAATCTAAGTTAGTATACTCCAAGTAAAGATTTACTTCTAATTTCTAATTTTAAATACTAGGATTAGTATTTAGTTATGAGACTGTAAAAGAAACGTTCAACATTTCACATGTTGCCCAGGGCTTTGTAAATATTTAACTCTAGAAATGGATATTTCTTGGGACAATAATAAACTATTAAGTAAATTCAAATTAAGTTCAGGCTTTTATCCACAAACAATGAGACAGTTTTTCTTGACTTAAAAAACTTAAGCACATGGAAAATAGTTTTGCAAAAATTTTTTAGGGATGGTGTTTTTATTTTTAAAAAATGTTCTTGCAAAACTTAAAGGTTTTATTATTATTATTATTTTGTTTTGTTTTAAAGGAATGCTGGTTTTATTGTAAATCTATCCTGAGAAATTAAAAGGAAAATTAATTTAGGAACCGCAGCAGAAGTGCAATATAGTAATTTTGGTAAGATGATAAAACTACAAAGACATGTTTACTGCTATTAACTTTCCCAGAGCCACACCTCAATATCACTTTTGTTAAAATTTAGAGGAATTTCATTACATCATAATTGCATAAAGTTCTGCAGCAGCAACAGCGACTTTTGCTGGTCCCCCAAGGGTCAAGTTACTCTCATGATCCAGCTGTTCTTTGATAGCATTAATATTTTAAGGAGTGATTTGTTGGCACTTACCTCCCATTAATTACATTCTCCATGCCACAGTGGGATTCTTTTCCTTAGGACACCAGCTATAATTAATTTCCTCATTCAAAGCCCCTGTCTATTTGACTTATTTAAAGGGCATTTCACCCAAATTTAAATGGGTGATATTTACCAATGGAAAATAACCAAGCCTCCAAATTACTTGATCCTGCATAGTCCTGACATGTGTGAACATTAAAATAACAGTGCACCATGCTTTCATATCTACATCCTGATACAAAAACAAAAACAAAAACCAAACCCATTGCCGTTGAGTTGATTCTGACTCATAGCGACCCTATAGTGAAGTACCTTTAAAATTGTTACAATAACAACTCAGGGAGTTTGCACAGGGAGAAAAAAATGTATCTGGTTCCTTGGCATAGAAGAAGATCTCCTTAACTTTACACTGTACAAATTTTCATTTCAGAAATGATATTCTGAGAATATTCTTTGCCAAAAGTAAGACAATATATGCCTACTTTTAGGTTTACAAGTATCCAAAGTTTCTGTTACTCTGTTATGATTTTAATAGTAAAGGAAGATTAAAAAGTTCTCATAGACACCCCTCAAAGACTCCAGGGGGAGGACATGGAGATGGAAAATGCAATCTACAACATCTGGGTATTATGTAGAGGTTTTAGAAATTGTATATTTTTCCTTATCTCGGTAACACAAATTGCATATTTTGGTGAAGAACACGATCATAAGAAATCATTTCCCCAGCCTACATTCTCTTGTGGCCCTACCTCCAGGAAATTCGGTAGGAAATGAGTTCAATGATACGATGTCTGGGATTTGCTTTAATACACACCAGTTTAAAATAATTAAAAAATTTTAAAAGGCACGAGAAGTGAAGATGTAGAGATAGGATAGATGAAACACAATTGCCAATATATTAATTGCTGTGGATGGGTGAAAGGAGTGTGTAAAATCAACAGGCAGTTGTCTCTATTTTTCTGTATGAATAAAATTACATAATAAAATATTTTAAAAAAAATGGTAGGACTCTGCAGCCATGTAAAACAAGCACTGGACCATACTTCTAAACCTTGTTCTCTTTGCTTCTCTCTTTGTTTTATATTCTTTGGAGTAGAGGAGCAGAGTGAGAGATTTGAGAAAAGCAAAAACAGGGATGCGAAGGAAATAGAGAAAAATGGATGCATGGGAAAGAGTTGAGAACGAAAAATGTGCTAAGGAAAGAGAAGAAAAGGCTGAGGAAATGTAGAAGTAAAACAAAAACAAACAAGAAAGCACAAGTGTGGCTGTGGAAGTCCCCTCCAGCTCATTTGCATTGGACCCAGAAAGTAAAAGAGAAAACATAAAATTTCTCAACCTTTTCTCAAGTTCCTTCCTGGGAATGATTTATTATCACTTACCTTCCTTTAATTACTTAGACCATGACTTACTGGAATTCTCTTCCTTGGATCACTCACTATAAATCTCTTATTCCAGGTCCCTGTCAATTTGAGTTACTCAAAAGGTTTTTTTTCTCAAATTTGCTTTGGCACATATTCACTAGTGGAGAACAGCAAGGTGCCCGTAAGTACAATCTCAGACCCGGGCAACCCCAGCCCCAAGCGATGCCCCCTCCCTCCCCTGCCCTGTGCTTTAGCCGGCTTCAGTCTCTTCATTTATAGAAGGACAGGATTAGACTTAGGTTCCTTAGAACAGTGTTTCTCAAACCAGATAATGTGCGTACGAATCACCTAGACATCTTGTTAAAATGCAGATTTTTATTCACAGGGTCTTCAGTGTGGCCTGAGAGTTCGCATTTCTAACAAGTTCCCAGATGATGCTGATGCTGTTGGACTGAGTACCATACTCTGTCCCCCTTTAGCCTGCCTATGCAGAGGAAGGAGTAGATAGGGCCAAAGAGATGTCCCACCCAAAGCTCATTTCCTCCTTTTCTATACCACTTTCTGGTGACCTGGGATCCCAGAACCCCTTACTCAAGCAGGACAGTTTGTTTACAGGGCCTGCAGGTGTCTCTTCCTTGTTTTAAGAGATTTTAGGAGGAGATGGTTGACAACTTATATTCGAAGGCAGGTGTGTCCAAATAAATATCTGATAGGCCCCCCTACAGCACAAGATGGCATCAGAGATGGGAAGAAAAGTGGGGTTGGGAAGGATAAAGAGTTGGGGGAGGGTGAGCAGAGTCAGGCTGCTGGCCACCATTTCTACTCTTGCCCTGGTTCAAGAATGTTGGAGTGGACCTGTTGCCTAGCACATAGTAGGGACTCAGCAAATAGTCAAGGAGGAAATAGATGAATGATTGACTACATGACAGAATGCATGTTCTTCCCTTAGCAATTCCATAACATTCAACACACCATGGTAGTTTTGTGTCAAGATGTCTGTCTTTCCCATTCGTCTGACCTCTTTTTGCATTATTGTATCCTGTGACCTAGCAGAGTACCTGGCACATCGCGGGTCCTTCATAAACGTTTGTTAAATAAACGACGGTAAACAATGGATGACTGGTTGAGGACTTGTTGCAACTGAGTGAATCAGTCTCACTATTACCTAGCGGTGCAACAAGTGAATACCTGGGAGCTGTACCAATAAAGAAGAGTGAATGGAGGGGGTGTCAGGGGAAACGGTGGTGGTG